CAGCAACTCCATGGTGTCCAAAGGAAACCAAGCGGGAGACTACTCATGGTATGTGTGATGCCCAGCAGCCCGGACATCTGTGGCCTTGAAGCAGGCAGGACAAACTGGGGAGAATGCTTTGGAAGAGGATTCTGGGGAGAACCGAGCATAGAGATCAGTTGGCTACACCCTTTGCTTGTGTGTAACTCTGTGCACAACCCAAAACATTCACCTCGCAGGTGCTGCCAGACACAACCCCTCTGCCACACTTCCAGGTGCCAGATGCAGCCACAATCCTTCCTTAGCGCAGAGGCTCACTGTGCTCCGACGAAGGACTTTGGACCATGGCCCGCTTCCAGCACAAGCACAGGAAGCTCTCTTTGCGTAAGGTTTTCTATGAAAGAACACTCAGAGCCCTGGAAATGTTTCTTAAAGCCTTTCTTCCTTGTCCTGCAGGTCACTGCGGCTGTCTGGAGCGCTACACCTAGAGCTCAAGGTCTCCCAGGAAGGCATAACAGGGGTTGGCTGGCAGCAACGTTCATGCTGTAAATAACTCCGGTGATCAAGGTTAAGCTCTTTGTGGTTGAATTGATTCTAATCTGACCAAAGAGAGGGAGAACGCTCCGGGAGGGCAAGGCTCTCCCAAGTGCCTACCTGCAAAGCTCTGCTGACCCGGAGCCTTCTGGGAAACTCCCCGGGACAGGATCCCAACCGGAGGGTGCCCAGAGTTATGGTGTGAACGACGCTGTGCTGGAGAAAAGCTACAGAAAAGAGAAATATGTCTCCCCTCACTTATCGAATTCTATTATTAACAGCTTGCACAGACCTTCAGCACAGCCCACACTTCCTCCTGCTGTCCCTTCCCCACCTGTACAGCACCCCACCTGGCAGTTCGTACGCCAATCCGAGCTGACCGTGGGCGTTTCTCCCAGCTCCCAGGTCTGTCAGCAGGTAGAGCCTCACGGCAGCTCCTCACACACAGGATTCATGCGCTTGTGCGGGACTTACCTTGCTCCCAGTGCCACAGGCAGCAGAGCGGCTCATCAGCTCCCAACAGCTCCATAAAGAAACCAGCACCCTGCCAAAGCGCCTCCTCCACAGCACACCTGCCTCAGCCCAGCGTTTCCAGAACACACATTTTCCCAGCTTGGTGCCAGGCTCCTGGAGAGGTTCCTCCTTGGTACGGGAACACGAAAGGTAGCTACAGCTTATGGCTTTCCCTTGGCTTACGCTCTGCTGTCATGTTAACGGAGCTGGCGTAGGCCTGCCCTAGGCAGCAGCTAAGCACCACACAGTCGTTCACTCACCTCCACCCTCCCCCAGTGGGCTGGGGAGAGAATCAGAGGAAAAGGTAAGAAAACTTGTGGGTTGATTCAAAAATGGTTTAATAATCTAAAATAAATGAAATAAAATTATACTAATAATGTCAACAACATTAATAATGGCAGCAACACTAACATGTAATGAAAATACCACTACTAATAATATATAATGACAATAATGGGGAAACCCCCCCAAATTATACAAGTGCTCACCACCCACCGACAACACCCAGTCAGTCCCCAAGCAGCTGGGGCCAGAGAAAGAGCAAGCCAGAGCCCGAGAGACCCAAGGGCCAGACCCAGCTCACTCCGCCCAATTTATGTACTGAGCATGACATCTTATGACATGAAATGTCACTTTGGTCAGCTGTCCAGGCCACGTCCCCTCCCAGCTCCTTGCAGAGGAGCAGCTGGGAACAGAGAGGCAGGGTCAGAAACTGGAAGAGTCTTCGACGTGATATAAACATTGCTTGGCAACAACTACAAGCATTAGTACGTTGTCAGCATCACCCTTCGCAGCACAAATCCAACGCACAGCTTCATACTAGCTGCTGTGAGGAAACTTAACTCTCTCCCAACCAAAATCAGCACAGGAGCATAAACCAGGATCCCACAGGCAAGGCTAAAATAAAGAGCTTTATATGGAAAGGCTTTAACTAGCAATCCGTATGCCGGCAGGAATGAATTGAAGAGCATTCTGGGACTTCTCCCAGATTCTGAAGAGTATTCTGGGACTTTTCCCAGATGACTCATGTCACAGGGACTTGTCCCATAGAGCAAGTTGGGAAAACTGTTTAAGCCCAGGCTGGGCATTAATTAATGGCTTTTTTTCCACTGCTTCTGCATTAGATCTCACTCAGATCAACTGATGGCTCTCACTAGCTTTGAGCTCACCCTACAGCTCCACCAAACACATCCTCTTCCCCAGGGAATGCCTTACAGCCAGGACGTAGGTGCCTCTGCCAATTCCCCGAGTGTTCAACTGTCCACTCGAAGCCCTTTTCCTGTCCTGACACGCTGGGGACAGCGTGTGAGGCTGACTCACCGTGCTGGGAGGCAGGATGAGGAAGTTACCTTCTTCAGGCTGGTGAAAGGTGCACAACTCTCACCCCAGCATCCCGTCAGGATGGCAGTTGCTGTTTCTGTACTTACCTTGTGACGGGTGACGCGCACCGTGGCTGTTTCGGTGGCTCCGCAGCAGCCGGTGCAACGCGGGGCCCTGCTCGCTGCATCGCTGGAACACTTCAGGCCTGTTAGCACCACAGCACGCTGCTGACTTCAGAATGCCATGAAGTCTCAAAGAAACTGCTTTTTGCCCCACCATCCCTCCAGCAGCAGGTTCCAAATCTGAGCCTCAAGTCACTACGAATGGAGCCCGCAGGGGCCCCTCCTTCAGTGTGTCACCTCAGAGAGTTCATTTCCACAGCAACTCTCTCGCCAGCTCGGCAGCCAACGTTCCATCTCTCAAGAATTGGAAAACTTGACCCCTTTTACTCTGTAACAACCTGGAGGACAGAGTTGGTATCGATCGTCTGAGGAAAAACACACATCCAACTCATGAGGTAACTCTTGGGCCAAATGACAGCACAGAGTAACACCCCACAGATGAACCTCCCACCGCTAACAGCCCAGATTGCTCCACCACCACAGTGGGTTCTGTCATACCCACCCAGGATTCGCTTCACCTTATAATATCCAGGGAGCATAGGAGCATGAAATTTAATTTCTTTCTTCTGAAGATGCTGGAGATTATTTTAATAAGTCTTACTCGGTGTCAATGAAAGAAAGCTGATGTTCAGTGGTTTAATATAAAGTCTTTTAATATCTGTTTCAGCAATAAAATCTCTGCTTTCTCTTCTATAAATGTGCTAATCTCACCAAAGGATATAATTTAAACAGTAGAACAAAAATATGCAGCAGCAAGTGAACATTCTTTTCAAACAGGGACCCGCTCTGAACTATCTGCGGTCTGTTCAATCAGATTAGACCCTGCAACAATTTAAATCCCAGCTCCAACCATCAATATGAAGAGCAGAAAACGTTCTTTTACCCTTTCGTGGATCTCTGTGTGAACAGGTGCTCAGTGGAGAGAAGCTGAAGCAAAAGCAGACAGCAGCAGAGGTGAGAGATATCAAACAGAGGACACCAAATAAAGAGGAAAGGGTAGAGCTGCTTTGGCAAACTGGGTATCGCTTCCTATATCAGGAAGAAGTTCATCCCGGAGAGGGTGGGGAGGCACTGGGACAGGTTGCCCAGAGATGTTGTGGATGCCCCATCCCTGGAAGTGTCCAAGGCCAGGCTGGATGAGGCTGGGAGCAACCTGGTCTAGTGGAAGGTGTCCCTGCCCATGGCAGGGGGGTTGGAACTAGATGGGCCTTAAGGTCCCTTCCAACCCAAACCATTCTGTGATTCTATGATCTGCAGGCCCTGACCCTAAAGTTTGCCATTTGAGAGCCGGATACACACAGAAATGATTCACTGCGTTTAAAAAACAGAATAAAGAGAGAAAAGTGAGGAGACAGGGCAGCAAATACAGTGGAAAACAGAAAATACATCCAGAGGATTTACAAATTTACTGTCTGCTCAGAACATATTTCTGAGGGGCTAACAGGCCAAATTATTTTGGCTTGAACTCAGTATTAATTAAGAAAGACTCATTTGCATTAGTATAGGTGAGAGAAATACCACTGGCTCTGATAACTCATGGTCAGTTACACAAACACCTGTGAGGGACCTTACAGACACACTCGGACCTGACCGCACTGTAGGGCCTCCTGCACTACCTTCTCCATGTATGGGCTGCAGCTACGTTTTTGGAATTAAATACTCTGTGTCCCAGACAGCTGACTTTTCATCTACCCTGTTTTTTAACATAAAACATTTGCTTTTAATTTAAAACATTTGTCCAGTCACATTTATGTGTAGATTTCATAGTTAAACACAAATAAACACCACTCCTGTCTCCACACTGATTTCACCACAAAGACATTTAAAAACGCCCACATGGCAGCTCTGCTTGGGGAAATTAATACACTCACAGTGAAAGATTCCCAGTGAAGTGATGAAATAAAGTTAGGTGAACACTCTTGGCGTGGTAAATAAAAGCAGAATCGCCACCTGAGTGGTGTCTGGACCTAGTGATACTCTCCCGACAACGACAACAGTTAAGGGACTGAAAAACCCCCCACCCCAGTACCTAAGCATTTTCTTTAGCAGGAGATCACACCAAAGATGGGAATTAATACCAGTATTTAATAAAAAACAATTTGCAAGTATCACAAAAGCTTTATTTCCACCTGACAAGTAACTGCTGTTAGCAATGCCCCTGTAAGATTAATCTGTAGCTCAAGAGCTACACAATAAAGGTTGGTTTTTGTCTTTTTAAAACAAGGCTTCCCTGTTCTTACAGAGGCACAGAGAACACTTCAGGCCATAACTGTTTCCTCCCAGGCAAAATGTTCTTTGGGATCTTTAAGAGTAGACTAGAGAAATTAAAAGAAAAAAAGTGAAGAAATACTTGAGGAAAGTAGACACAAACAGAACTTTTGCTCATTTAAAAATAATCTTATTTTAGGAAAATTAAACTTTGAAAAAAGGTTCCTTCAGGCAACAGTTCCTATTGCAGAATGAACAGAACGTACAATATGTACTACACAAGTTAGGCTTTCCATACATGAGGACAGGAGTCGTCTTTCTTCATCACACCTTTTCAGGTTTGGCTTCTGATTTCTCATCTATCAGATCTTTAAATCCCAATTTTTCCAGCGGTTCGTTAGCCATAAGTTGCCTAAGTTAAAAACAACGAAGATGTTATGCAGAACGCAGTCTATAACCAAGAGAACAACAACTTTTTCTATTTCATTAAATATTATTTACCCTACGGAAATCGAAGACACCCATACAGAGTGACTGCTGCTTGGCAAAGCCTCCAAAGCTTCAGTTTTGGGAAAGCAATATGCAGGGATACTTTTTTTTTTTCCTTAACAGTGGTTTTCCAATTTAATGTGCTGTTTCCTGCTATCACAGCGAATAAAAGTTTCCTCAGAAACTGACCCAACTCCTGGTTATCTTTACTTAACACACTATATAAGAGCTTCCTAAAATTCTACTTGTGCCATTTACCAGATTTTTAAGTGAAAGGGGTTTAGAACGGCATTCATGGTGCCATTAGATGTTACTGTAGTGATTTTCAAACTGGTTTTGATTTGCAGCATTCCTCCCCACCAGCCCAGGCAGCGTATGCAAGCGCCTTTGTATTTAAGTGCATTTAATTGCCCAGGGAAGCTGTGGATCCCCCATCCCTGGGAGTGTCCAAGGCCAGGCTGGATAAGGCCTGGAGTAACCTGGTCTAGTGGAAGGTGTCCCTGCCCATGGCAGGGGGTGGGACTGGGTGGTCTTTTCCAACCCAAACCAGTCTGTGATTCTGTGATTAATAATGCTCTCTACGTGTTTCCCAATGGTTTCCTGACTCTACCAGAGAACAGAAAGCACTGCAAAGCAAAGCAAGAATGGAAACATCCCTGGAAACCAACTTTTTCTACTTGAACTTAACCTTTTAAGCTGTAACCACAACCAGAAAAAAAAAATCTAGGACCTTCACGCTGAGAAAGACGGCTGTGCACAGTGGGAACTGCCCGAGTCCCGCAGTTATCCCACGCTCCGGGCTGGATATCTACACCGCATCAACCAAGCCGAGTGTGAGGTCCAAAGGACACCTGCTCCTGACACGGACAGCCGCCTCCCGCGTGACTGC